CTGGGGGTTTTTTCCCCTGTGGGCCCCCTCGGAGGAGGAGCCGCTGTGAAAGGACACTGTCCTACGCTAACAGGAACTGGAGCAGAGAAGCAGGAGAGACGCTGCATCCGCAGCGGAGCGGCCAGGCTGGCTCAGAGAGCACAGACGCTGTTTGTTTTCAGCCCGATTACCTTGCTGCACATACTGTCTTTACTGCAGTTCTTGTTATCCTTGTCTGTTGCTTCCTCCTCCACCTTTACAAGGGAAAAAAATAAAAAGGGTATAAATAAAAAAGCAGAGCCGGGGGGGACGGGAGGAGACTGAACAGCTGGTGCTGGAGCGGCTGGGAGAGCATCGGGTCGGGATCCAGGGTGCTCCAGCGGACGTCGGACACGGGCAGCTACGGAGGAGCTGGGATCGGGAGAACAAGCCAGGCAACCCGCTGGGGCAGCTTCCACTTCCTGAACCGAGCGCCACGGAGACTTTGTTCCTCGGAGGGACAGAGATGTCACCTCCAGCTGGGGCACCAACCCCAGAGCCCAGTTCCTCGGCTCTGCACATGCTGCACGGGGAGCGCTCGGTGCTCTGCGAAGCCCAACGCTACCGAGCCCCTCAGCCTCCCTCCTCTCAGGGCCGGGACAAGGTGGGTCTGGGCTCCGGGGGGCTCCTGGCTGCCGCTCCTGCAACTGTCCACCGGATAAACGGGCCGATCCGGGACTCCACGGACTCTGGAGTGGAGCCCAGCACCAGGAGGTCTCCGTGCCCCTGCCTGCCTGCAGGTCTCTGGTCACTCGCGGGAGATTCAGCTTCTGCCCCTCGCACCAAGGCAGGCAAAGAATCCCATTTTCTTACTTCCTGGAAAACTCTTCCAGGTTTATACTGCTCCATCCCGCCGTTTACCCCCTCCGGTGAGCACGGCTGCCGTGGTCCAGACCCCGCGCTCTCTGCGTGTCTCCAACGCGCCTCTCGCACCCAGCACGGTGCCGACCCTGGGTGCCAGCCATGCCGAGGATAAGCACCAGCAGCCCAGCCCTGGGGCCAAAACCCAGCGGGTAGGAAACTTCCAGGTAAGGAAAGTTCCCATTTAGGAGCCCCCACCACCAGGCAGCCGCAGGGCAGGTTTTCCTGGATCATCTTTTCAGACTTGCCGCGTGTAAGCCCTGGCTTAGGTACCCAAATCCATCAGCTGCAGAGGCAAGGCATCGGCGGAAAGCTGATGCCAGCAGCACTGATCAGATCAAGAGCAACAAGAGAGGATCCAGCCTCCAACAGTTGCTTATCTCTGACCCCAGGAGGGAGAGCAACATCTCCGGGACGGCAGAGACATGGGTTTCCTAGCTGCTCTCTGCCTCCTCCCCGCAAGCGAAGCTGGTGGGAGCGGTCCCTGGGGACAACAGATGTGGGGCAACCCCACGGAGGAGCAGCAGATGGACGCAAGGTGATGAAATGTCTCCCTCGAGTGGGAGGGGAGGACAGGGGAAGCGCAGCAGCGGGGATGAAGGCGGCAGGGCGGGCTGGCTGGCCATCTCCCCACCCGCGGCTCGGAGCCAGGTCCAAGCGCAGCTTCGACAGGAGAAGGCTGAGCAGGCACCTCAGGCTGGGATTCAGGAAAAAAAAAAAACGAACCACCAAGCCCCCAAAACCTCTCTGTACTTCTCAGCAGCTTTTCGCTGGAGGCTCTCGCGACCCTTTGTGAATAATTCAGCAGCTGGCTTAATCTCTCCAGAGGACGAACGTTTCGCCATCTGCGTTCGACAGCAGACGCCGGGGAGCGACCGGCCGCAGTCGCACAGCCTGGGGACTGGTTGTCCTGGTCAGTCACGCCTGCGTGAGGCTTTCCCAGTGCCGGCAGCTCCTCGCTCCGGCTGCAGCATGGAACACCCTCCGCCTAGAGCCCGGGCCTCGGACAGCCAGCCGGTCGGTCCCCCGAGACCCAGCACCACTGCTCCAAGCGCCCGATTCCTCCCCGTACGAGCTGCCGTTAAGGACCAGGCAGAAACGCTGGCCACTAGAAGCGAAAGGCGAAGCGTTTCCCTGCGGATGCGGGTTCTTACCTCCTTCCTCCACTTGAGCTCGCAGAAAACCCGTTCGAAGCACTCGTGCATGTAGTTGAACTGCAAAGAGAAGGCAGGCATCTCTCAGAGCAGCCGGCCGCCCCGGGGGAGCCTGGCGCCGGCTGCTTGCCCAGAGCT